TTTTTTTTTTTTTTCATTGTTTTGGATATTCAAATACGATGCTGTAAGGTCTTCCTAACATAATTTTTAAAAATTGTAAGTATGGTCCAACTAAATAAAGTAATATACACATTTTTAAAAACCAAGGCAGGAGTAGATGCACTTCTTACTCCTCTCAGTAAGTACAGCTTAAAATGCTGGGCATCAGGGCGCCTGGGTGGCGCAGTCGGTTAAGCGTCCGACTTCAGCCAGGTCACGATCTCGCGGTCCGGGAGTTCGAGCCCCGCGTCGGGCTCTGGGCTGATGGCTCGGAGCCTGGAGCCTGTTTCCGATTCTGTGTCTCCCTCTCTCTCTGCCCCTCCCCCCGTTCATGCTCTGTCTCTCTCTGTCCCAAAAATAAATAAACGTTGAAAAAAAAAAAAATTAAAAAAAAAAAAAAATGCTGGGCATCATATATAAAATAAATGTAAGACCTGAAAGGCAGAGAGAACAAAGCATGGCTAGAGACTATAAGAACTAAGGAAGGACATGGCAGTGAGTTCTCCAGCTTTGTTTTTGCTTAAAAATCCCAGACTGGGTTCTGGAGAAACCAGCAAACTGGAAATGCCAACAGTCAAGACCAAAAAAAAAAAAAGGCCCAAGAAAAGCCCTTTTCCTTTAGCTAAAGAACCAGGAAAGGTATAGACTTTTAACACAGAAAATGTTAGATAATAACCCGCCTATTTTTGGAAACACCATGAAAAAAAAATCTATGACCTGAATCCCAACCTGGTCAGTAAAGGCTGAGTGAGGAGATTAGATTTCTACTCTTGCTTGACTAAAATGGGGTGCCTCTCACCTCCACTCAGAGGATATCAGAGAAGACTGAGGAGCTGGGACATTCATTTCTGCCCAGCTATAACCCAGTCGCCTCTGTAATGTCAGTGGAGGACGTACAGAAACAGTAATCAAGTGCCTCACTCTTGGGATGTCAATAAAAGCCAAGCAAGAAACATGGATTCCCATCCCTATGTGGCTGGCATGATGTCTGGCTAAAATAGAGGGGGAAAGCCCCTCTATAGATAGATAAGCTCAAAATAAAAAATTACAAAATGTGTGAAGAAACCATGTACCATGAGCAAGAACAAGAGGGAACAACAGAAGGATTAGCAGCCCCAATTCAGGAGTTAACAGAGCAAAAATGCCATTTAAAAAGGGATTTTAAAAAATAATGATTGAAATTACTAAAGAAACAAAAGAAAAGCTAGAAAACATAAAGAACAAAATATAAGTAAAAATGATTAGGCAGATTTGAAAAATACCAATAGGGCTTTAAACATGAAAAATACAGTCTTTAAAAACTCACTAAATGGGTTAAATAGAAATTTCTAACATAGAGATAATTAGGAGCATTATGGCAGATCTCATCAAATTAGATGTGGGTGAGCAGACAAGGAATGGCAGATGACAGCTTGTCTAGAAGTTCGGTACTATTTGAAGTATTGTTGAAGGCATTTGTTACTTTGGAGACATTATTTAAGAAATTAAGCATGTTTATGTACTTTATAAAACTTAACAGAAGACAATATCCTATGTCATTTAATGCTTGTAGGTAAGGGCTCATATGAGAAATTACTTCTTGAATCCATTCACAGGAAAATGGGAATCCAGAGTGCCTCTCAATGCAAGAGTTCAAGGAGAATTTCGGTGTTCAATAGTAAGTAGCGCATTCATCATATATATAATTTTATGCCTCATTTTAAGTAATTTTTTGTTGACTTTTTACATTTTACATGTTTGCTTTTAACTTTTTTTAAAAAAAAAAAATTATTATCCTTGAGAGAGACAGCACAAACAGGGGAGGGGCAGAGAGAGGGGACAAAGGATCCAAAGCAGACTCTATGCCAAAGCACCCAGCCTGATGTGGGGCTCAAACTCACAAACTGTGAGATCATGACCTGAGCCAAAGTTGGACGCTCAATGACTGAGCCACCCAGGCACCCTGCTACATTTGTTTTTAAAGTCCTCTGAAATTCTTTTTGCAAGATAGTGGGGGTAAATCTATAAAGTACTTATTACATTAGATGTCAAAAGTTAAGGATTTGTTGCCCCCCAAAAGGGATTAATCTTCTTAGGTGTTTATACTGGCATAAATCTTGCTCTAAAGTGTATATATTCTTTAAAAGGTTTTAATGAGAGATTCATAAATAGGTGTTAGAACTGACTTAACTTTTATAAAACCTATTAATGTAGAGCTGCTATGGTTGAGACCAGGTAGACAGAGGGAGGAAATACCTGGCCCACTAACCCTAGTGAGCTCTCTAGGGCTGCTTGAGCATACTTTAAAAGCCACTGCTACAAATGATTCTTAGTTATTTGATTAATAACTCAATTACTCAATTAAGTCTGACTGTTCTGACCACAGACATGAATAAAAACACTACCACAGAAAATTCCTAGGAGGAAACATCCATTTCTTTTGATTGTTATCTTTATAAACCCAGACATATAAAGAGAATCCAGTGATGATAAGGAAATTGAGAAAAAAGGTTAGGTAAAACTCAAGATATTGTTATTTCAGTCATAATTAATATAATAGCATTTTTGCTGCTTCTCCTCAAAGCCAAATAAAACAAGGCAATATAATCATAACCACTGAAAATTAATCCAGTAATAATTTTTAAATTACCCTAAATCTTAAAAGCAATTACATAAAAATCAAGTTATCAAATTTTATTTTCTTACATTGTGGAGACAAGGCAAATGTTAACATCTTGTGTACTGTTGAACTCTTTCACGATCTTGATTCTTTCCTCTGATTTCGTACTTCCATCAAGTCGTCGGTAATCAAGGCCAGCTGCCATACAGTATTGCTGCAGAACATCAAGTAACTAGAGAAAAGGTATGGAAATGGGCAAAGACAAATGTATGGTTTAATAAATTTCGTACCACTATAGAGAGAAGATTTACTAAGTATTAATAATTGCTGCTCACAAGTTCTTTCTTATAATTACAAGAGCAACAAATATTTTCCTGACTTCTGGCTTATGTATTTCTCCCCACTATCCTGAAACTGACTATAATATTCACCAGTGTTTGTTTTTTAAATCAATCTTTCAGGGAAAAAAAAAATCAAACTTTATTTTTTTTTGAAACTAAAACCAAATAAAAAGTATTGGCCAAATAATTTATGTAAGTGAATTTCATTATTTGTGCTATTTTCCAAGTTCTAAAATCTCTTACATGCCTTAAAGAACACTTTAATTATTAATAAAAACATCAACAGAGAATTAAAAATCTTTGAGTTTGCTCTTTGACAGTAATCTTGATATCATTGAGATTTAAGTGTCTGTTTTAAAAGTTGCTTATGTCACTACTATTTTCTACAGTATGTATAAGATAAAACTGTGGCTGGACACTGTTATGTCTCTTAGGATTTATGCCTCAAGAGTTAGGGCTGGGCCAATTAAGAGTATATACTTCAGAAGGAACTTACCTTGGTGGAAAAGGAGAAAAGAAGTATTTTATCTTTGTTTTTCCTACAATGATTTAAAAGCTGCTGAAGGACCTAGAAATGAACCACAGAAATCAACCACCAATGAACCAGTTCCAACTAAAAGCACACTTTATACATATACACATCACTAGAGAATTTCTTAAAAATTATTTTTATACAACATAACCTCAGTCCTCTTTCCTAATTCCCTTCATTTTTGCCAAGTTAGAGAAATAAAGTATTAGATATTACATGAAATGTTATTCATCATCATACTGTCAATAATGAGGTAAGGTTCCCAAAGACTTTTGTTTCATCTCATCTGGTTTTAATAAAAAAGAAACATTTTAGATTATGGGATGCATTTAAATGAATTAATTTAATTTCCAAAAAACACTTTCTTTATACCTACAATATGTTCAGAAACTAAATTACAGAACAGCATTCCTTTTAGGAAGTATTTAAATTTTTTCTAGATAGACGTAATGAAATGTGTTTAATTACATCTAGGTCTTGATATTTGTTTTCTTAAAATAATCAGTCACATATACACCTCTTCTTATTTTATCCTCTCTGCTTCTCTATTTACAGTAAGTCCTGACTTCCAGATTTGATTCTGACCTCAAAATGTCAATAATTTGCCCCAAATACAGTGCTTTTAGGGAGGAAGCAAATAATCCAAACCTGTGTATAACAGTATCACTGTTATTTTTAAAATAGGCATTTCCACATCTGGCAGTGACAGTTCCAGAACACTGTGGAAAAGTAATCCACAAAGGAAAGAAAAGGAATTTTCTGTACTAAGCCTAAAGTTTTTCTGAATTATGCAATAAACACTTCAATTTTGTTTATTCACTGATAAGCATTTAAACTTAAACAAAAAATCATATTCAATATAACACTCTTTTAATAATTGACTAAGAGAAGATATTGTGCTAACTCTGACCCCCATGGTCCAATCCCTCAGGAAAAGCTATAGAAAAAAAAAAAGCTACTCAAATAACCAAACGGTGATAAAAATGTCACAGATCAAGTCAACATAATTTTAATACTTGCAAAACTTATAAAGTAAGTTTTGCATTAACTTTATTTTTTAATAAAATAACTGATTCTGTATAAAGGATGTGCATTTGAACTTCACATAATACAATAACTTTTTAAAATTAAAGACTTTTGTTAGAGCAATTTTGGATTTTCAGAAGAACAGAGTAAAATATACAGAGAATTTGCCCAGAATCCCTCTCCCTCATCTTATATCCCTGCCCCTCCCTGCACAAAGTTTTCCCTATTATTAACATCTTGCATTAGGGTGGTACATTTGTAACAACTGATGGACGAATAAATTGTTAATAAATTATTATTATAAACTATTATTAAATTATTATTATTATTAAAGTCTGTTAACATTATTTATAATAGGGCTCATTCCTTGTGGTGTACATTCCATGAGTTTTGACAAATATATAATGACATGTATTCACCATTAAAGTATTATATGGAATTGTTTCACTTCCCTAAAAATTCCCTGTGCTCCATCTATGTATCCCTCCTTGCAAACTCCTGACAACCCCATTTATTATTTTATTTTCTCTACAGTTTTGCATTTTCCAGAATATCATAGAGTTAGAATCATACAGTAAGTAGTCTTTCAGACTAGCTTCTTTCACTTAGTAATATGCATTTAAGGTGACCATGTCTTTTCGTAGCTTGATAGTTCATTTCTTTCTATTGTTGAATAATAGTCTATTGCCTGAATGTATCACAACTTATCTATTCATCTACTGAAGGACATCTTGGTTGCTTCCAAGTTTTGGCAATTATAAATAAAATTGCTAAAAGTATCTGTGTACAGGTTCTTGTGTGAACTAAGTTTTTAATTTACTTGGGTAAATATCAAGGAGCGCTGTAAATAACAATGTTCACACTAAGAAATCTTAAACGTAACTTTTCTCAAATTAGTCAAGCCTAGAGAAGAACATGACCCCTATATGATCCCAACAGCACTAAACTCGGTTTTCTAAGCCTTTTCCCCCACCCCTCACAGTAAGTGGCTCTGTGGTATTTCCCAAGGGAAGGGAAAATGAGGATTCTTATCAGGGGAATAAGTGCAATTTTTGACCATCTGCTTGAATAGTAGTTGAGGTCAAAAAAAGACCTTCACATTTAACAGAAAGAGCTGGAGTTCATGAGTATAGTTCTGAGGGTATGAAGGGTACAGTGAGCATTATATCAACAAATAAATTGCAGCTGTAGGCTGACCTATAATAAGAGAAGCGGAACTAGTATCTTTCATCACTTGAATTCAAGAAGTACATGCAACTTGGATTTCTTAACCCCAGAGACAATAGATTATAAGCCTATACATTTTGTATCACGAAATTACCAGGTGATGTTGATAATCAAATGATGAAACACAATTTTAAAAATATAACCTTAGGTTATTAATATCAGTCTCTTTCTTGTTGGTGTTCTCTCACAAAGTAAATTATAGGCGCCTTTCACATATAAAGACATCAACCCAGACTCCATCAATAATTCATGCTTGCTTTTTCCCTTCTAAAACTCATAACAAAAAAAATGTAATAATTATTTTAATCAGACATTATTTCTAAATATACATTAATGAGTAGTTATAAAATTCCATTTAATATCAAGAGTAACTTTTTAGTGAAGAGTCACAATGAATGATATTTAAATATATAACAATAGACAATACAGTTTTCATAAGGAGGCCATGATTTTTGAAAATATTCTATTGGCTTGAATTATGGGATAATAAGTGCTCAGTTCCAAATTAATTGAGCTTTTTATATAGTTTTATTTAAAATAAATAAAGTCGGGGCACCTGGATGGCTCAGTCAGTTGAACTTTCCACTCTTGATTTCAGCTCAGGTCATGATCTCACAGTTTGTGAGATCAAGCCATCAGGCTCTGTGCTGACAGCATGAAGCCTGCTTGGAATTCTCTTTCTCCATCTCTCTCTGTCCCTCCACCATTCATTCTCTCTCTTTCTCTCCCAAAATAAGTAAACATTAAATAAATAAATACATAAATAAATAAAAGTCAATAAAATGGATGACAAAAATAGATTTATTATTGTTAGGAAATATTGGTAGGAAAATTACTACTATTAGTTTGAATTATTTATTGTCATAATAAAACAGAATATTCTCACTAATACAAACTTATTTATTTAAAAATACACAACTCTCAACAAAGTGGGTATAGAGAGAACATACCTCAACATAATAAAGGCCATATGTGACAAGCTTACAGCTAATGTAATATCCACTGGTAAAAACAAAGCTTTTCCTCCAACATCAGGAATAAGACAAGGATGCCTACTCTTGTCACTGTTATTCAACACTGTACTGGAAGTCCTAGCTAGAGCAATAAGGCAAGACAAGGAAATAAAAGGCATCCAAACGGCAAAGGAAAAAGTAAAAGTGTCTCTGTTTACATATGGCATGATCTTATATATCAAAAACCTAGACTCCACAAAAAACTGTTAAAACTAACAAATTCAGTAAAATTACAGGATACAAAATCAATCTACAAAAATTCATTGCATTTCTGTACATTAATAAGGAACCATAAGAAGAAGAAATTAAGAAAACAATCCCATTTACAAATGCATAAAAAAGAACCAAGTAAAAATAAATTTAACCAAGGAGATGAAAGGCCTATACGTTGAGAATGATAAGACACTGAAGAAGACACAAATAAATAGAAAGGTATTCAGTGTTCGTAGGCTGGGAATGTTGGAAAATGTCCATACTACTCAAAGCAATCTATAGATTCAATGCAATCCCCATCAAAATTCCATGGCATTTTCCACAGAAATAAGAACAAACAATACTAAAATTTGCATGGACTCACAAAAAAACCTGAATAGTCAAAGCAATCTTGAGAAAGAGCAACAAAACTGGAGGCCTTGTTGGAAACCACACTTCCTGATTTCAAACCATACTACAAAGTTATGGTACTATATGGTACTATATGGTACTGACATTAAAACAGACAGGTCAATGGAACAAAACAGAGAGTCCAGGAATAAACCCAAACATATATAGTCACTTAATTTATGACAAAGAAGCCAAGAATATACAAAGGGGAAAGGATACTCTCTTTAATAAATGGTGCTGGGGAAAACTGGACAGCCACATGCAAAAGAGTGAAATTGATCTCGGTAAGACATCTGCACCCCCATGTTTACTGCAGCATTGTTTATAACAGCCAAGACTTGGAAAAAATGTTAGGTGTCTATCGACAGATAAATGGATAAAGAAAACATGAAATACACATATACAATGGAATATTCGGTCATAAAAAAGAAAGAAATCCTGGCATTGCAACATGAATGACATTATGCTTCATGAAATAAGAGAGACCAAGAAATATAGATACTGTATGATCTCACTTATACGTGGAAACTAAAAAAAAAAAAAAAAGTTTGAGGGGTGCCTGCATGGCTCAGTCGTTTGAGCGTCCGACTTTGGCTCAGGTCATGATCTCATCATTCATGAGTTCAAGCCCCGCATTGGGCTCTGTGCTGACAGTTCAGAGCCTGGAGCCTGCTTCAGATTCTGTGTCACCCTCTCTCTCTCTCTCCTCCCCCGCTCACACTTTGTCTCTCTCTCTCTCTAAAAAATAAATAAAAAATTTTTTAAAAAGTTTGAATTTATAGGTGCAGCGAACAGATTGGTGGTTGCCAGAAGCTAGGGGTGGAGGCAGGCAAAATCGATGAAGGTGGTCAAAAGGTACTTTTCAATTGTAAGATAAACAGGTGCTATGGATTTAATGTACAGCATGGTGACTATAGTTAACAATGCTGTATTATATATCCGAATGTTGCTAAGAGAGTTGATCTTAATAGGCCTCATCATAAGAAAAAATAACTATGTGTGGTGATTGATATTAAATAAACTTATTGTGATAATTATTTAGCCATATACATATGTATCAAATCATTATTTTGCACCCCTAAAACCAAAACAATGTTATATGCCAATTATATCTCAATTAAAAAAATACATACCCAAGTATTTAAGGTAATCTTCTTGGCTTTTATTCTATTTTATTGAATTTAGAGGTCCAAGTAAACTACACTATGATGAATTTATGTAGATTAACTGCTAAAAATATTTCCAGGGTTTTAGAAACAACAACAACCTACCTCGAATTACTTCTTATTTTATTTATTTAGCCAAAAGAAATAACTTACTCTTTAAAAAATTAAACCATAAAGTTGAGAATTGTTCTGTAATAGTCTCTGAATCCATAAAGATTCTTGACAGTTATTAAAGAGTTAAACAAGCAAAGTCTGCTGCAAAAAGGCTGGAAGCTGTCAGCAATCATGCAGCTGTCACAGGCCTACGTCATGGGTGGAGAACCTAGCCATACTTTTCACACCTTCCCTTAGTAATATATCACCAAGGGCAGCACCTACAGGCAGCACCTACAGGTCAGTTTCCTAGTGTACAACAATTTGTGGCAAGGGAGCCACAAATGAGATTAGCAACCTTCCAATACAGATTGGCAAGTGAAACCAAGAGGCAGAAAATTCAGTATAGACAGAAAGGTCTTGTCCACCTTGAACTCTTTAAGAAGTTCCTTTCTCTAAGTCCAAGCTATTGTATAGCCTCCTCCTCGTATTTGGCATTAGCGTTTGTATTTCTGGTAGATTATCTCCTTAAACATTTGAAGACAAGCTATTATATATGCAGCACAACAGCGCACATTTTTAAGCAGGCATACGTCTAATACATTGATAAGGAGAGTCTAAAGTGTATTTGATGTAACCACTAAGTGAGACCCTACTGCATGTATGGTTCATTGTGAGCTAGTAAATGCTGACACAGCTACGCCAGTCATCTTTGGCCAGTCTCTTCTGAATGATTGGGTATCTGTTCTGATTAGTTGGTGTCCCTGTCACACTACTGATAAATATTTTGAATATCATCCTTGTGTGTATGCAGCCTGAGAGAAGAGCACTTACCTTCATCTTACCACTGTACTTTGGGTCAGAGAGTGTTTCAAAGGCTGCATCTTTGCTTTTCTGCACAAAATCTGGGAATTTGGAAAATACCTGATCACATATCCTTTTGATAAGTGTTTCCTTAAGGGGAAAAGGTAGAAGAAAAGAAATTTCAACTTAACACATTTAAACCTACATAAATTGAGATTGTTTATGAAAAAAATTCTATTTAGAAGGAACATATTACTTTGAAGATATTATCTTCTCTAAGTCAGACTAATAATTCAGAAAACCTTAAAGTGATAATGTTAATTACATATGGTTTTGATGAGTTCTGAGATAATGATAGGACTAATAATGTTATCATTATTCTTTTATGATTTCCAAAACAAGAAATCAAATACTTCCTAAAGAGCAAACAGTACTATCAAAGAACAATATTAAATTCTTATTAAATTTTAAAATTACATTTAAACAGCATTAAGATTATAACACAAAAAGAAAATAGAAAATCATTATGTAAAAAGCTTTAAAGAAGTTTTTTAAATTTATGTTGTGCTCTAGAATAAGATACAATCGAAATGACCAAAGTAAATGATTGCATTTGTCTAAACTTTGAAATTACTCATTTATGCCAGCTTGGGAAATACTCCTAATATTTAATATACAGGTTATTACAAATACATTTTAATCCAATAGATTGAACAGATGGAATTAGACACATGATTAGTGGAAGAGGACTGACTCATCAAATATCTTACTTAGTAATTACATCAAATATGTTAGGAAAACGAATATATGAACGTTATCACAGGTATAAAAAAAGAACTGTTATTTTAACTTAGGCTTTAATTTTCTCACTTCAATTAAAAACATATGAACATATATTTCCTTGACACCTAAATTTAAAAATGAGCAAGTTCAGTTTCCTCTTTAATTGCATACACAAATAAAGATATCTTTATTGGCTAAGACATTTTATACCAAATATAAAATCTTTATACCAGTAGCATCATGAAGAAGTACAAAAAGCCAACTCAAACCTGTTGTTTGGAGGTGCTAGCAGTCTGCAGTAGTGCAACATGGTTAGCTACCTTTTGAAGGACTGCAAGGTAACTGAAATACAAGGTTTTCACTGTTTCGCCATGTGAATTGGTCTGTAACCAGAAAGACAGAAAATAAAAACAGCAAGGAACTAACATGGCTATGTAACTACTTACTTCATGAAATCTATCACTTACACTAGTATTTATCATCTGGTTACTACTAGCACAATACATTTTGAGAAAATAATGGTCAACTGTTACACAAAATATCCATGCATCACTAATGTGGAATCATACTTTTGGTGAACCATAATACAGTGATGTTTAAAAAATAAAAAAAAAAAAAGAGGGGAGAAAGTCCTCATTTCAGAAAGTATTTATCCTCATGACACACAGTGATAGAAATGCTGCCAGAAGAGGTCCCTGGTAATAAAACTATGGCATGGAGGCAGGGCTGTAACAGAGCCCTTCACTATTCTCATTTATATTCCAAGGCTTCCTAGGAAACTGTGCATTTACAAAAGAGTGAGGTGGCTAAAAACAGCAAAATAAATGAGAGGTGGAACAAATATCAATCTAGAGAAATATTTATTTAGGGTCCCTCTATGTACATGGATATTTGATAGATAACTTGATAATAAAATAGGTGAAAATGGGCAGGAAATATAGATAGGTTAAAAAAAATACAAAGTATATTTGTTTCTAAATAAAAATAAAATACTCTATTATACCAAAACACAGTTCTTATTAATATTCTATCAGAATATTTTAAGCCTGCTATCAAAGAGTAAGTTTACTAGTAAGGGATAATGAGAAAGTTTTAAAAATTAGATGAAATTTCAAGATGAAAGTAGGCTACTTTCTAATAAAAGTTGAAAGGGAGGATATCAAATTGAAGCTACTAGTTTCTGAGAGCTACTGAAAAAGTGGTTTATTGAAAAGATATATGAATATTGTATTTTGCTATGATTACTATTTGATATTGTAAAATATTTTTGAAAACTATTCCTTTTTATTAATTTATGGTTTCTAAATTTAGGGAACTGAGGAAAAGTTATTTTATCTGCTCCTCACTCTTACAGTAGAACAGACAACTGTGTAATCAAAACCAAGATCGTGAATATACCACACAGAAATGCTTGCCTTGAAACAACAATTTCTCTTTTTCCGGCCACTGTTACAGCTACAAGGCTCAGAAGACTGAAGTATCAAAGTCACATCTTTTGTTTCTAATACTGTTCGATAGACAGCTTTCTGAAAATCTGTCAGAGAACAATACACCATCTGCCAAGATAAAACACAAGGTGATTATCGGTACTTTTTAATAGTAGTAATAGTCACAATGCACATCAGATTTTATAAATTTTAAGAGTGAAAACTGCTGATAAACTATTTTTCTTTTAGATACATTATTATGACAAATTCTCCTGATTTTCCTATACTCTTTGCTACCATCTTACCCTAAACTACATAAATATAACTTTATTTTCAAATAAATCTCACAGAACTTTTTTTTCAACTGAAAGGAATCAAAATATGAAAAAATAAGTTAAGTGTTTTCCTTATATATTTCTATATAGAATGTACTCTATATTTCAGGGTTTCATACTATTAGCCCATCATGCAAATATATGACTACAGTTTAGGTCAGATAAAAAAGTAGATGAGAAAAGGGAAAACTTTAGAACAATCGTATGAACAGTATTTAATGAATTACTTGAAAATTTATACTAAAAACAGCATAAAGTATTTGTATTTTATATCCTGGTATAAATTTCTAATATTAGTAAAGGTAAGAATTAAAAAATACACATAAAACAACTACAAGTTTCAGTTTTGTGTCCAATTCCAAGAAAAGAAGAAAATATGATAAAATAATGCCACTAAGTTATGTGGGATATAATTTACCTTAGATTTCTAGTAGGACTGGAAACTGGTAAACGTCTTCTAGATGTAGCTCTATATAATCAAGGTCATAAAACTCATAATAAGATTTTGAAAAATGTGAACAAAAAGGAAAAACCATCTATCTATAAATATTTATGTATTTATATCACTACAATAGAATAGTATTGCTAAAAAATGACAAATTCTGTTGTTTCTTTTGCTATAAAGAAGCTTCTTAGTTTGATTAACCTCACTTTTTAAATTTTTGCTTTTGTTGCTTATGCTTTTGATGCCATATTCAAAAAAATCATAAGCAATCATCACAAGATCAACGTCAAGGAGCTTTTTCCCTGTTTTTCTAGGAGTTTTACAAGATCACATCTTGTGTTTTAATCTTTAACCCATTTACAGTTACTTTTTGTGAGTAGTAGAAGATAGGAGTCCATATAAATATACAATTTTCCCACTACCACTTATTGAAAAGAGCATCTTACTGAGTATTCTTGGCTCCCTTGTCAAATATTAGTTGACTGTATATACATGGGTTTATTTCTGGGCTCTTTATTCCACTCTACTGGTCTATATGTCTGTTTTTATGCCAGTACCATACTGTTTTGATTACTATAGCCTTGTAATATAGTTTGAAATCAGGAAATGTGACACCTGACAACTTAGCTGTTCCTGCTCAAGATTGCTTTGGCTATTTTGGGGTATATGGTGGTTCCATACAAATTTTAGGACTGTCTGTTCTATTCCTGAAAAAAACTGCCATAGGAATTTTTTTTTTTTCAACGTTTATTTTTGGGACAGAGAGAGACAGAGCATGAACGGGGGAGGGGCAGAGAGAGAGGGAGACACAGAATCGGAAACAGGCTCCAGGCTCTGAGCCACCAACTCAGAGCCTGACGCGGGGCTGGAACTCACGGACCACGAGATCGTGACCTGGCTGAAGTCGGACGCTTAACCGACTGCGTCACCCAGGCGCCCCACTGCCATAGGAATTTTTATAGGGATTGCATGGACATTTTAACAATACTAATTCTTCCAATCCATGAACATGAGTATCCTTCCATTCATGTGTGTCTTCTTCAATCTCTTTCATCAGTTTCTTATAGTTTTCAGTGTATAGGTCTTTCACCTCCTTGGTTAAATTTATTCCCAAGTATTTTAAAACAGGTAGTAACATTTACTAAACATTTCTTACATGCCACACACTTCAGAGCAACCATGTGAGGCAAAAACTATTACCATTCCCATTTAACAGATGGGAGCCAAGGTTTGAGAGACTTAGCAAATTGCTCAAGGTCATAAAACTCGTAAGTAGGGAGCCAGGATTCAAGCCTATAATATTTGACTCTAGAGCCCAAGCTCTAGACACTCTGTGCACAACTCTTTCTTCATATTTTAGTTGTTGTTCCTACTGGAAAGACAAATAATATACATAAAATTGCACAAAATATTTTCAAAAGTGAGGGTTCATTAAGTATTCCAATTAAATGACATTATCTGCTTTAGATCAAAAAGTCAAATGTTTGGGCACCTGGGTGGCTCAGCTGGTTAAGCATTCAACTCTTGATTTCGGCTTAGGTCATGATCTCACAGTTCATGAGACTGAGTCCTGTGTCAGGCTCCGCAATGCGTGGAGCCTCCTTGGGATTCTCTCTCTGCCCTCCCCTGCTCGCACTCTCTCTCAAAAATAAAGAAATGAACTTAAAAAAAAGTCAAACATTTTATCATTTTCCCCAACTTGCATATCAGTAACATATTTTCCTTTCAAGTCTATCTTTTTAAAGTAATAATCAACAGGACATCCTAAGACTACAGAGTATTTGATAGCATTGCCCTTATTTGGGACAACATTAATTAAACTTAGTTCATGGTAATTTATAAAACCTTTTTTCCATTACCTGAGCAAGAAGAACTACCAGATTAAAAACTATACAAGAGGACCACAACATTAAAAAAAAACCTCTTAAGGTTTACTCTTCAAATGTTCTTAAATAATTAACAGAATTTAATTATAACTTTCCTAAAGTTCTTCAAACTAAGTTAGTTGTATAACTGCAAATGGCATTCTAAAAAAAACAAAGCTTTTAATCACTGTGGTCCTATAGCTGTAATTAAGGTCTCATGGAATATACTGGGCTGTGGATAGTAGGCAATATATGAAGGATAAAATATGAATGGATAACAAATTAGGGACAGAGCTCTTCTTTTCCAACTGAGGAAGAACTGCAGCAAAAGCCTTCTTATAAGAGAAATGAATTTAATGCATACTAACAATAAACCTGCTAGCTAACCTGCTAGATTGGGTTCAATTAACATTTTCTGAAATTTTGCACATAATATTTTTTTCCATACTACTCAGGCAAAAAAACCCCTATATTCATAAAATACCATAGGAGACAGATTTTCTTTTAAAAAGAATTTGTTCACTGGGGCACCTGGGTGGCGCAGTCGGTTAAGCGTCCGACTTCAGCCAGGTCACGATCTCGCGGTCCGTGAGTTCGAGCCCCGCGTCAGGCTCTGGGCTGATGGCTCGGAGCCTGGAGCCTGTTTCCGATTCTGTGTCTCCCTCTCTCTCTGCCCCTCCCCCGTTCTCTCTCTGTCCCAAAAATAAATAAACTTAAAAAAATAAATAAATAAAAAAATAAAAAGAATTTGTTCAGGAAAAAAAAAAATATGAGAAATTAATAATTTAAACAAATGCAGTTCTCACCCGGTCTTCCTTCTTAGGCAACTGATCCTTGATCAGAGTCTTGGTACGCCGGAGAAACCAGCCAGACATCTTCTTTGCAAGCCTTTGCATGGCCTTTCGGCCAGTAGCTAGTTCTCTTTTTGTTGCTGTGTGTCTCTGACCATGTTCTACTGGGTCAGAAAACTGCTTCTTGAAGTAGATCCTACTACCTAAAAGTCCTGGCACAGCCCTATATAAAGGCAATAACAAAAATATTAGGGCTTTGGTCAATTATCTAAAAAGAAACACATTGACTTCTTTCTGAGTCTAAGAAATAGTACTAAGTCGCTTGTTCATGAATGGTAACAATAACAAAATAAAAGAAAACAGAGTGTTCTTTCTTTATGACAGTTTCAGTAAATAACTATAAGATGACAGAAATGGTAAATACGCTCAGATATTTACTTCAAGGACCGAGACTAACATATAAAAAAAGGTTTTCATGGGACTCTACTCTGTATATCATGTTTGGGACAAATACATCTGTAAACATAGCTGTATTTGGGTCCCCCCTCCCCACCCCAGAAACTATTAATTAGCAAACAAGGTAACACTAAGTTAAAGAAATATTAAAAATTTTACAAAACATAAAAAGTGTTTTTACTCACCAGTCCATAACACACCACAGTTCTTTCATGTTGTTCTGAAGAATGGTTCCAGTGAGGCCAATGCAGACATTACATTTTAAAGCTTTCATAACTTCTGTTACTCTAGCCTTTGGATTCTTAATTCTATGAGCTTCATCCACAATGACAGCTGACCATTCCAAACTACAAAGTGAGAAAAAAGGGGGAAAAAGTTTAGAAAACTTATCCTACATGGTGAATGAATACCTTATTACATTTATGTAAGTGCAGAACATCTTTTGGGGTCATATAATATGTTAAATAAAAGCTCAAGTTCTGGAATTAGATGGTCAAAGTTTAAATTTAATGTCTACCACTGACAGCTGTTGTAGGCTTAGGTGAGTTACTTCTCCGTGCCTCAGATTACCCGTCTTTCTGACAGCTTTCTTGAAACAGGAGCATACTATTATTAGCTTCTAAGTGAAGTAAAGTCAAATCCTAGATCTGACAAAAATGGTAAATCTAAATCAACTTTAATAAATATATCAAATGTAAACGGATTAAACACTCCAAATAAAAGGCAGGTTATCAGAATGGATACAAAAGCAAGATCGAACTATACATTAACCACTAAAGGCTCACTTTAAATATATAAAAATATATTCAAATAAAAAGATAGCAAATGATAAATATTCAGTAAGTACAAGAAGACTATATTGTCCATATTGATATCAGATAAAACTTCACAATTATTAGATATAAAATGGAGCATGTTTTTTAAAGATAAAAGGATTAATTCATAAGAAAAAATACTAACCATATATGTGTGTGTACCTAATAAGAGTTTCAAAACACTGTATATAAATTGAAAGCTGACAGAACTGAAAGGAGAAATTTAACAATACTCAAGTACAATTGAAGATTCCAACATTCCTGTCTCAGAAATTGTAAAACAACTAGAAAATCAGTAAGAGAACACTTAAGTGTTAACAGCTCCTAACTTGACTTTATTGATATTTATAGAATACTACACCTAACAACTGTAGAATAAACATTTTTTTTCATGAATACATAGGCCAGAAAAATGCAAATTATACAACAGAATACCACCACAGACACACTAAAATATCTAAAAACAAAAAGACCGACAATGCTAAATGTTAGTGAATATACAAAGTAACTGAAGTCTTGTAGATCACTAGTTGGAATAGAATGATACAACCACTCAAGAAAATGGTTTGGGAGTTTCTTCTAAAGTTAAACCTATGCTTAACCATAAAACCCCAAAATTCCACTCCCAGGAAATGAAAATATGTCTACCCAGGATAAATGAAAATGTGTGTTTAAAAAAAGGCTTATACATAACTAACTATTCCTTACAGTTTTACTTATAATAATGAACTGGAAAACCCAAATATAAATATCCATCCTCAAATAAATGGGTAACTAAATATCGTATACTCATAAACTGCAATACAACTCAACATTAAAAAAGAACAAATACATTCAATAGCACGGATGAATCTCAAAAATATTATGGTGAGCAAAAGATGCCAGATACAACAGTTCTAGAATCTAGAAATCCAAGATCAAGGTGTTGGCAGGCTTGGTTTCTTCTGAAGCCTCTCTCCTTGGCTTAAAGATGACTGCCTTCCTGCTGTGTCCCCATGTATTCTTTCCTCTGTGCACTTAAATTCCTGGTATCTCTTTCTCTTCTAAGGACACAAGGCAGATTGGACAAGGGCCTCACCTTAACGGCCTCATTTTGACTTTATTGCTTCTTTAAGAATATTTTCTCCAAATACAGTTACATTTTGGGGTCCCTGAGGTTGGGACTTGAACCTACAAATTTGGAGGGGACATGAGTTAGCTCAAAATAAGCCTCCTAATTGGTCTTTCTCCATTTAGTTTGGCTCTCCTTGGTCTGTATACACAACAACTAGATTACTTATAAAATGCAAATCTAGGGGCGTCTGGGTGGCTCAGTTAGGTGAGTGTCTTGGTTTCAGCTCAGTCATGATCTCATGGTTCATGAAACTGAGGGAACTTTCTCTCTTTCAAAATAGATAAATAAGGGGCACCTGAGTGGCTCAGTTGGTTAAGTGTCTGACTCTTGGTTTTGGCTCAGGTCATGATCTCACAGTTTTGTGAGTTTAAGCCCCACACTGAGCTGACAGTGCAGAGCCTGCTTGGGACTTTCGGTCTCCCTCTCTCTCTGCCCCTCGCCCACTCACGCTGTCTCTGTCTCTCTCAGGATGAATAACTTAAAATAAATAGATAAATAAACCTTAAAAAATAAAATAAAATGCAAATCTGACCATTTTTATCATATTAGTAATCTACTGAAAACATTTCAAGGGTACTCTATCATTCTAAGAATAAAGACCCCTAGGGGTGCCTGGGTGTTCTGTCAGTTAAGAGTCCAACTCTTGAATTTGGCTCAGGTCATGATCTCACAGTTCATGGGGTTCAAGCCCCACATGGGGCTCTGTGCTGGCAGCATGAAGTCTGCTTGGTATTCTCTCTCTCCCTCTCTCTTTCTCTGCCCTTCCCTCACTCTCTCTCTCTCTCTCTCTCTCTCAAATAAATATTTAAAAAAAAGAATAGGGGCGCCTGGGTGGCTCAGTCGGTTAAGCGTCCGACTTCGGCTCAGGTCATG